TGGTCCTTTTTTATTTTATTCTAATCCCGTTGATGCCACTATTGATCAAAAAAAAAAAAAAACAAACTCTGCAACAAACCACTGGAGGGCTTTGTCACATCATTGTAAAATTGCAGTTTTGGGGGTTTTCTGTCTTTCTTCTTGGGAAGATGCCCCATCACCTCACACAGTATACAGTCCCAGCTTGCATTGTTTAAAAACCTGGCTTTTACCCTAGAAACTACAAGAGCAAACGACAACAGCTTGGTGTGCTGTTAACTATATTCTAACAGTCATATCAGGGTGAAGCACATTTCATTATCACTGCAGTTCGCTGAGAAGTCGACCCAGCTGGTCACTTGATATCCAACTTCTAGGGTTGTTCCCTGATCTCTTACCCTTTTTTTGGGCTCCACCAACTAAAGTACGACTTCTTTGTGATGCTCGGTTTGTTTCATTAAATTACTTTTCTGCCCACTGTAATCACTTTATATGCTATTGATGGGGCTCCTATTGCTGTGACTAATTCAACTCCTGACTCACATGACTTTGAATTCCTTGTGATTTTGAAGACCCGGGAGATCATTTTGACTCACTTCCAGTAGAAGACTGAACATCTATTTCCCTTCTTTCTTAAATCCCAAAACTCCTATTACACATTTGTCCTCTGTGTGTGGACAGAAATAACATAGAACTTCAAATCATTTTGACTGACCACGATGCTACCCTTGACCCATTTTTTGCCTTCATCTATTAGGAATGCTGCCGTTCATGATTGGTGTTATAGTTTCATATGGGTTTTTAAACGTGCCTTGAATGACATGTTTCACTTCTCTTCTCACTACAGATTTTAGCAATGAGGAAATTGTGACCACTGCTACACAGAACAAAAACACACAAATGTATTACAATGTACTTCAATCGAGTTATATATGATTGTACTACATTTCTTAGAGGATCCCAAAGCAGAAATTTGTTGTTTGGCCCCCACTGACCCCTCAGTTTACCTGGCAGTGCCATCATTTCCCAGAGCACCTAGAAACTAATTTTCTAATCCTGAAATGATCAGATGGTAAATCTATTATTCAAGTGACAGTTTCTCTTAAACTGCAAGACATGCAAATAAGCAACCGTTTGCTGATAAGTTCAGCATATTGTTCAATTTCAGGGGCAGGATCAATTAATTGCTGCAATACGTGACAGGGGACACACCTGGGTCTTGTGTACTCCAACAGCCAGTTCTTCTCCTCTACACACTCCGGTGTTTTTCTTTTTCTCACCACCATGCATCACACTTCCCCTCATCCACTCCCTTCACTAATGATGTTTTATTTCTCCCACAGATTTTTTTTTCTTGTGTTTCTAGATTATTTTCATTTTTCTGAAAAATAAATAGTATTATTTTAGAACAGTTTACAGTATAGTCTGAAGAATTCACACTGTGCTCATCTTACAAGGCGATGATATGTCAGTGTTGTGTAATTTGTTTCTGCTGTCCCCAAGTGGCCAAAATATCAGTTACTGCAAGTTGAAGTAAACATTCTGAACATTCTTTTAAACAAAAATACAGATCGTGTTGTTCAGTCCTCTTACATGAGGATTTGATTTTTTTTTTTCTGTTTTATTTAACTTTATATCTTTTCAAATATTGTTGCAGAAATAAGCTCCAGAGCTTGTGGAGAGGTCCTGTGACCCAGACTTAGCTTCTAAAAGGTTTTGAATGGGATTGACTTCTCTAACCAATCAGAGATTTTCAATTAGTTCTACTTGATCATTATGTTTTGTTGCGTTGTAATTTCATAATGACAAATATCTGAAGAGCTGGGAGGAAAGTGGCGGAGCGTAGCAGGTCATAGTAGAGTGGAGTGGTGAGTGGGAGTGCTGGGTGGAGCAGAGTGGGTTGGTTTGGAGTTTTATGTTAGTGCTACCTTAAGTTACATATTGTAATTTTAACGAATTCAAATGAAAGAAGCACAGTGAGGAAATATGACCAGGCTGTAGTGTAGACCAAGCCAATTACTGTTGAATTCTGATTGTGGCCTTTGAATATTTTTGTCATTTGGTTGGATAAATAAATAATTTAACCACCTTGGCTTAAGGAAATAATTGTTTGTCTTTAGCAATGGGTCACTGTCTATCCTGCATGCATTTTGGATTTTATTAGCACCTGCATTTAGAACTGCACTCACTCACACTGTTCCCGAAGGGGAACAGTGCTTAGGTAACCATAAAAGGTTCAGCACTTTCCAGGAAGTCATTCAAGTTATATAACATCTGATAAAATAAAAATGTTGTCATTCTATTAATATTTATTGTTTTAGGAATGGTGGGCATAAAGCCCATTTGATTTGATTGTGCCTTTTAAGAGTCAGTTCATATGGTAAGATGAGGATAGAGATAGGTTTATATCCACAAAAATACCTTTATAATGACCTCTTGGGGATCCTGTTTAGCAGCTGAGTCATGCATTAAACTCTTCATACACTTTTATAGCTGCTGCCCACTGCAGAGACCACAGACAGAGATATTACATTTAAAGTGCATTTGCAACAAATTAATTACCTTAAGGATGATAAAGAAAACTATAAACCGACTTGTGCATCCCCTGACTCACAGTAAATCTAAGGTCATGTTGGGGTTTCCAAGTCTTGGCATCACTTACTGTATGTGGTTTGTTTGTAGACTCTACCAACTCCAGTTAGTCTGCAGGAGACATGAGTGCTGGTGGCTTACCTCTCAGAGAGAAAGGTTTTTTGTCTTTTAAGGTTGGCTGCAGACAGTGGCCCCCTTTCCACTGCTCCTCACTGTAAACACAAGTCGCAGTAATGAATGTGTGATGGCTGGAGATTTGGAGCAGACTAAGCGTGCTGATGTTCCATGTGTTCTCACTGTCCATCAACTCTGTACTGTGCCTAACAACCATTTACAGTAATCTCTGTTTGGGAAAATGCTGGGTGCTGCACTTTGGGCACAGAGATTTGTCACATATACAGCCATGTGCTTCATTAGCCCACTGGAGTCTGCCTATTCACTGATGAACACACTGCACATTAGTTTTATTTATTTCAGCATAACTGTCTATACATGTCATCTTGAGACAAACTGATAAAATCAGCTGAAGGTGCTGATGTGGGGCTTTCACACACTCTCATTTATGTCTGCAATATTTTCATTGATTTCCATTAGCATACATGTACTTTAAATGAAAAAAGCACAAAAACAACATGTGACCACTTTACATGTATTGTTAACAGACAATATAGTTATATTTCTTTCTGCTGTGTATAAATAACCTCGAACTCTGTTTTATACTAACATGAAGGATGATTTGTTCATTTTTATAGGCACCTGTATCTTTATGTACGTACGTACTTCTACTTGAGTTCATGCTAAAAAAGACACCATACATGTGGGGTAAGGACAATTTAAAAGGTGCTAAACAAAGACAAAAATGAAAGCATAAAAAGTTGGCAAAAATGAACCAAAATAAACCTGGAGGCCAGAATAAAAACCAGACAGAAACAAACATGATTCAAAGCAGCACAGATCTGTAACTCATTTATTCTGGGAATTATATGTTTTGATGTTATTAGTTGCAGTAATCACTGGTTTTATTCTAGTATGTGCCAACATTCCTGTCACAGTCCCAGCTTCCATCCTCACAGTCAGTGGAATTGATTAAACTTCACATGATGTGCAGCCTCACAGTAAAAAGTGTGAAGAGTGTGTTGTGAAGAGCAGAGTTTTCAAAGGAGAAACAAACCAATTACAGCGTGAGGTTGACTTGGTCCGATGTTTCTGTTCAAATGTTCAGTTTGATTTGATGTGTTTCTCATTTTTGGATTAAAACAACTAGATGGCACATAGAGAGATCAAACCTCTGCCAAGGCAACCCAGTTTTCCCATAATACCATTGCACCTTATATCAATATTCTCATGACAGTTTGACCCTCATAAAGGTTCAAAATACTGAACAGCTACAGTATAAATAAACATCTCATGCAGACTGAAATAACAATGTGTACTTACATTTCTTCATAGAGACACACAACTCACCATTTGGCTGCATGTATGCCCAGATACAATAACAGGCCTGGCTTTTATCATGAAATGTAATTCCATGTATAACTCACTTTATTTATTGTGATTTGATTTTGGTGAGCCTTTACAAGGGCCTTATACTGTATATTATAATTAATGTCTTTATGTAGGCCTACGATCAATGAAGCATTTACTAATGCTTTGTGGATCAGTTATAAGCCATTAAATCCCAGATGTTTATCATGTCAATTTATCAGTAGTGCAGTGAGATATGCTGGTAATCCATTAGGCTTACCAGAAAGAAATAAAACTATATTGTCTGTTAACAGTACATGTAAAGTGGTCACATCCAAATGTTAAAAAGTTGAAAGTTGAAATAAAGTTTGGTCCAGAGTCATTTTTCACCAGATACTAGTCATAAAGTCCAATCCTAAAACTGATTTCCACAACCTGAGAAGCCAAAGTTTGACATTAATTTTGTAAAGTAAGCGATTCAACCCTTATTAAGGATGCTAATTATAACTTCCAACCCCTTATTAAGGCTAGGCTGTCCTATAAGAAAGAGGCATTATTTTTTTTTTATCCCATTAAAGAGTAACCCTATCAAAGCCAATGACCTGACTTGTTGCATTTGACACAAACCTTCTGATGCTTATCTACAGCCACACATGACTCATAACTGGGTGGGAAATGTCTGCTGAAGAGCTTCTTCTCTCTTTATCGTCGTGTTTGTGAACTCTATCACTACCCACCAGCCGGAGTTGACCTCCTGACAGCCTGTCACAAACATTACGCAGCGCTGCGATGACGCCAACACTGGCAGATGAGACATGGAAAGGAAATTGACAGAAATAAACTGTTTTCCCATTTGTTTATCGTTTCTATCCCACCCTGTCAGGCTGCTGATGTTGGGTGGTTCAGTATATTTAGAGACAGCCCACGTCTCAGCTCACAGCTGTGCGCAACGTCCACCAGGATCACCTACATCTGGATTACTGGAAAACAGAAGGGATGATACTACCAGAGAAGATATCTCTTATAAAAGTGCCAATGGAAAACCCAAACTTTACGCACGGATCTCCTACCATTAACGAAACACTGGTTCACCAGACAGGGATCGCTTTACCAATTTTTATGTTTGCTGGAGGCGCCATTGGGAATTTAATTGCAATAATCGTTCTTTCAGTATCAAGACAGGACAGAAAATCCTCAGCTTTCTACAGACTGGTGTGCGGTCTGGCTGTGACAGACCTGCTGGGCACCTGCTTGGCTAGCCCGCTCACTATAGCCAATTACCTGGACCACAATGTGCTGAAAAACGAACATGTCTGCGAATTTTACTCCTTTTTGTTGCTGTTTTTTGCCTTGACAGGACTGAGCATTATCTGCGCCATGGCAGCTGAGCGGTATCTCGCCATATGTTGCCCGTACACCTATGAGCGATGGGGGGTGGACAGACGCTTTGCGCAAAAGTTTCTTTTCTTTATTTACACCAGTAACATTTTCTTCTGCTGCCTTCCGATGATGGGCATGGCGAGGAGCGAGCTGCAGCCATCCGGGACCTGGTGCTTCATCGACTGGAGGACAAACGAGCCTGTCGCCGCCGCTTACTCCGTCCTGTACGGCGTCGTCAGTGTCCTGCTCATCCTGGGGACCATTGTACTAAATCTGGCGGTGTGCGGAGCGCTGCTGCTGATGCGGCAGAAGATTGTGCAACGGCCCGTCACCAGAACCAGCGTTCGGGAGAGGTGGAGGGCTCTGTCCTCGGCAGCAGAGATGCAGATAATGACGGTACTGGTGATGACCTCCGCGGTTGTGCTTGCCTGTTCAGCCCCGCTAGTGGTGAGTCAAGTTAAGCACTAGCTTGGTTTACATTGGTGATATTACTGCTTCATCTAATAAAATAAATAACACAGGTTTGCATTGGTGGACAAAGTATTCTGGGCCTTTACTCATGTAAAATTCTACTGTAAAAAATAAAAGCAAAAGACCAGCATTCAAAACTTATTTCAAGCCAAAAGTGTATAAATATTATCCACAAGAGTCCTTCAAAGTCTCAGAGTACTGGATTAGTGGTAGGGCTACATTAATTGCATTAATTTGCAAGCAGAATTATAATGCACTTTCCTGTTGAAGTTAATTTTGACCACATTACAGCATTTGCAAGGTTTAATTTACAGAATGAAGATCTGAACTGTAGTATCTTATTTTTCTCTTTAAGGTCCGTGTGTTTGCCAACCGATTCAAAATCGACCCCACAGCAGACTTAACTGCCATCAGGATGGCCTCAGTTAACCCCATCCTCGATCCCTGGATCTACATCCTGCTCAGGAGGTCTCTGTTTCGACGGTTAATCCGTTTATCCAGACAAGGAAGCAGCACTCCCAGTACTTCCTCCACTGCGCCACAAAGGAATATGTTTTATCCAGATATCATGAGGGACAGCCATGTCTTCACGCAACTCATGTGCAATGCAAACATCATCTCTCAGCTGCCTGCTGTCAAATTCACCCCATACAACACAGAAAGCCTCCACCAGACTTAAAGCATTGCAGACCGAACACATGCTTCACATCTATGAATGTTTGTTGCTTTGTGATGCTGCAAGCAACTTGACACAGAGCCACAAACTGTTTCAGAGCTGTTGCCAGTGAGACGGAAACATAGTGGTGACTTTGTGGCTGGACAGTGCCCACAGAGTTCATGGAGAATTATGAAGTAAATAAAACTAAACTTTCTCCAATTTCATCTGCAACGCAACAGGCCTAACAAGAACAGACTACGGTGTAATTATGGAAGTAAAACAATAAGACACCACTCTGCCTTTAGCATCCTGCCTCTCCTTCTTCACTCAGTGCCTCTCCTCGTCCATTCAGAGATCTGGATTCTTCCTTTCCCTCGTCTGTATAATGTTGCATAGTTTCCTTCTCCACTCATCTCCTGCCCTCTCACCCTCCCTCCACTTGATCAGTCCAGTTTGTGTCCATTTTGTTTTGTGAATTAACCAGGTGGAAGCTACAGAACTACAGAACAGCTCCTGCAGGTTGATCTATAGCTCATTTCATCTTGTGGTGGGGTTCAGTTGACCTGTGACTCCTGGTAAATGCCTTGTTTTTATATAGCAGTGCATGGACATTGAAAGATTGAGATAAGACTCATCACAACTGTATTCATTCAATAAGACTTTCGGGTGATTAATGAAAACCAGATTTAAGCCTACATAATTACTGTTTTTACAGTGTTGCTCTATATGCTGCTCTGTGTAAACTGTAGCTAGTTGTACTGTTAATTAGTGTTATAGTACTTGAGTCCAGGACTCAGGGACTGGTCTGACTTGAGCCCTAATTTTCAGGACTCTTGATTCAACTTGGACTTCGCTGATGACTTGAGCATTGACTGCATTCAAACTCGGAAGTCGGAGACTCAGACTTAGACTTCTTCTTCTTCTTTTTTGATAACAGGCCATAATAATTTGGCATGAGATTTGGACACTGATATCCACACTGTTCACTTTTAAGTAGTGTGTGTGTGCATTTGTTTGGCTAATGTGTCACACACAATAAGGAAATGTTTTCGAATGGTGAGAGCTGTGTCAGTTGTGTTTAATGTAGCGCTAGATGACTCTGACTCGGGAGGTTCGATTGACTTGACTCTGACTATTCTTTGGTGACTCGGACTTGAACACTGGGAACATGAGACTCGACTCAGACTCCAGGTTTAGTGACCCAGCTGCATCACTGCTGTTAATATCAGAAGAAAATAAGTCAATGCTTTATTTTACATGTCTGCTATTACCTAATGAGTTTCCTGGGAAGAAGCATGTAGTTTGGTACAGAAAGAAAACAAAGTTGTGAGACTGTTATCGTGGCTAGCTGTGTTGAGATTATTGTCTTCCAGATGATAGAAATTGCTCCATTGATACCCCAGTGCATATTTATTACTTATTCATTAATGCTGAAGTGTATGTTTGTAGAGACATTTTGCACACTAGGTTACAATTCAGAAATAACTGTTACTGTACCAACTGACTGCTCTCTGTTTTACTGATAATCTAAGCAAATCCTATGGTTTTGGCTAGGAAATGTATAAAATGGAATTTATGAACCCGTCAAATAAGTGTATGATGGAGCAGATACATTTAAACCTCATGTGATGATCTCTGCTTTCTGCTATCCAGTTTCTCCGTTTGATCTGCACCGTTAAGCATCTGGCTGGTCCCTCCATCACACCCCTATGACAAATTTCACTCCACCATGTTGTCCTGGGAGTGTACAGGGTTGAGGACAGAAGCCTGTGGTTTTCAGTTGTGTTTATGACTCAGGTTCAGGTTCAATACTAATACCAGAATTGGGCCTTTTAGATTGTGCGCGCAATGAAACTGTATTAATAAGACACCATTAAATAACGATCCCACTTTTACAAAGTTAAAGTGGAATTTATGGGATTGTTTATGAATAACACATTGTGTATCGTATTTATTGTATGGGTTTGATTGGTGACTCTAAATTCCCCGTAGGAGCGAGTGAGAGTGTGTGGTTGTTTGTCTACATGTCAGCCCCTGTGATAGACTGGTGACCTGTCCAGGGTGTACCCCGCCTCTAGCCCAATGTCAGCTGGGATTGGATCTAACCCTCTGCTATCCTTTTCAGGAATAAGCGGTATAGATGGATGGATGGAAAAAAAGGTGCTGGTATTTAGAAAAAATACTTATTTTACACTAATCGTTTGTGGCCAGCAGAGGGCAGAACAACTTAAAACACACGGAGTAGAAACACACCAGTAAGTGAATAGTAGGAAGCATCATGTATTTTATCATCCACTAGCACTGCAGTTTCTAAACCCTTGACGAATGTACATCCATTATTCACAGGGATTTTAGCCGTTTTCACTTGTGTTGTAATAAAAATATCTAAGATAAACCAATTAAACAGAAAGATAGGGCTACACATAAGATTATAGTGCAACACCGAATAATGTCATTTAATATATCTTTTATCTGGGGCACTTTTTTGCACAACCAGTAATTTTCTTTTTGATATGTTGAAATTGATTCAGCAGATACTACTTTTGCACTTATCCATTCAAATGCTAAGTATTTTTGTATATGTATTATTGTGTGGTACTTTAATTTAAGTATGGGATTTGAACACTTAGTTCATTTAATGCCTTTAAAATAGCCCACTTAGTTTTATCAACACTCAAGAAAGAAATACATTTAATATGCTTGGTATTCCATAATGCATTTATTTCCCCCCAACATTTAAAAATAGCATTTACTAAACATAAGCAGACAAGACTGTGCATAGCTGCACCTCTGTACATTTTTTATGCCTTGACACTATAAATAAAAATCTATAAACATCAGTGATGTAAAAATTCTGTCTCAAGACCCATCAAAGACGCGCACACACAAAAATAATCATACAAGTTTTACAAAGTAACTTCCCCTTTCCCCAGTCATTATTTGAAAAGCTTTACAGCAGAGAGCCAACATCCAAATCAAGAGCTGTCCGAATTCAGCGACCTCCTATTCGCTCACGGCACAGAGACACAGTCGGCATGACATTGAAAAACTAATAAAGAAATGACATGAATACACTACAAGTGTGATGCACACACACTACCTTCATCCTGTGGTACAACAAAAAGATTACACTCTGCTTTTGGCAACATGAGGAAGATGATGACAATTTAAAAACATTAGCTGCTGCAGTAAACAAAAGGCTAAAATGTGACTTGTACTGTTGTTCATTTCTCCCAATGCTGTTGCCAGCTCAGGACTTCTGTCATTTGCTTGATGCTAAATCTAAAACTCTGGGTATAGTCGAAGAATTTTGGGACATGGGCAAAGACACTACAAATGCAGATTACATGTGAATATTACATCCCTACACCATGAAATCATAGTTTTAGCTCGACAGAATGTCACATTGCTATTTAAAATCTACTCGCACCCTTGTGCACAAGAGGTCACATTCAACTTGATGCGATATGCAGATGAAGTATTATTTTATACAGTGTTAATAACTAACCAATTTTGATATGAAGCTACCATATCCCCCTCTTCAAATGTTAAACTGTTATTATAAACATGGTTCTCATATGATACAAGTGTGACATTGTGTTTTGCTCTCAAGAACCATCAGCTGTAGAAAACAATACAGGAAGAAAACAGCTTGAAATTTAAATTAGTTCAAGTCATGTTTGTGCATGTCCTTGAACTAATGATATCAACTCTACTTTTAGATGTTTTGTTCTTCATCAACTCCTTTGTAAATATCTGGTGCCTTAGCAGTTTTTGTTCTCCACTCGCACAGCTGCAAACATCTGCTTCCAGGAGTTAATGAGAGCAGTGACCTATACAGTAAATGTGTGACAGTAAAACAAACATGAGCTCAGAGTTGAGGGGTAATTTTCTGATTTCAGCGCTTTGAACAGCACTTCCACATCACACAGAAAAACATTTAAATGGAAAATGTTGGCATTGAAGTTTTCATGAATAAACAGACGAAAAAGAAACATTTCAGTAGACAAATGCTACTTTTCTTTTAAAATGGGTGAGGTTTTGGTTCAGCTCCTTTGTCTTTATTGAGGCTGTAACTTGTGGCCGTGTATCAGATTGATTTACATCTGAAGGAGTTTCCGATATTTCACTTCAGTGCAGCCTCAAAGGTATACCTCAAAGTATACAACAGTCAAAATACAAACAAATACAGCAGCGGTCTTTAAAACAAAAAAGGACATTTGAGCAAAGTGGTCATTATTCCAGGGCTATTGAAGTACACTACATTTCTTCATACAGGTGATTATAATTTTCTGGTCCATCAGCATCTTTTTTTAAAAACAAGACTTCACACTTGGTTAACTATGAAAGCAGAGGTGATTTCCCTCCTTGGTGGAGAAACTCTCGCAGCTAAAAACAATTTCAACTACCTCAGAAGTAAGAGCTAGTTCAGTCCCTCATGAATTCATAAAGGAGCAAACAGACAATTATTGACACAAGTTTGTCTCTGGGAAGCCCAGAGTGCACTGATCCCACAGTGCCTCTTTTCAAGACCATTTTGGGTGTTTACTCCAGACTAAACACTGTGACAGATTTTTAAAATTGTCAGAAAAAGCAAATTACACGTAGAAAAACCTATATTATTAAAATATGACTGCACTCTCTCTTCTCCCATGTGTACTGGAAAAACACGCTCACAGGCTAAAACTGGCACTTTTATAAACATTCAATTAATGTGCACTGTTCCTAAGATGTGTGGATTTCAAATGCTGAGACAATTAAATCACAAACAACAAAAACTTTATATTGCTGCCATGAGAACACAGAAGCTATCCTGTGAAGAGAAAAGCAAGTGCCTGATGCTTCTTAAAGTAAACAGATATTCAAGCAGTCATCAACTTACCAATTTCGCTTATCACTAATGATAATCAAAACCTCAAGCCCACCTGAAAATAAAGTTCTATCTTTAATTGCACAAACCAAGCCTCTGATTTCATGCAGGTCTCATTTTAACTCAAGTCTACCCGGCAACTGTCTGGCACCAATGTTACAAAAATGCTTTACATAAAACAGCAGGACTATAAAGTCACATGACGGACGGTCACAATCTGAATAACACATTTAGTTGTTTTATGATGTGCAAACTCGACACTGTTTAAGAAGCATAAACAGGACAGAGCAGCTTTGGATCAGGCTGAAAAATCACCTGACAGGAAAGAACTCTCACTCTGCCCGACAAACGGCACAGATCAATAAATACCAATAATCAATTAAAAAAAAAACGATGCATCATTTTAAACTCCAAACAATGATGACAAAATGATGCATTTTAACATCTCTATTACATTTTACATGGTTAGAACTTGCTAAGAAACATGAACCGCTGCCATCCTTACAGGCACAGCTGTTGTGCTGCATGCTGGAATAGAAGGATGGTCTGGGTGAATCTAATTTAAAGTAAACTTTTTACATTTATACCTCATGGTAAGCGGCAACATGACTGTTAACTTGGAGAAAACAACAGATGTGTGGGAGACCAATGACTGTTGCGCATAAACAGACTGGTCTCGCTCTCGGATTGGACAGTGTGAGTGTGAGTGTTGCAAAGCCATTTTATACGGTGGCTCTGCTGACAAGTATGACTGCACTTTTACCGATCTGTAGGAGTTTATAAACATCAGCTTCTAACAGTTTGGTCTTTTTTTTTTTTTTTTTTTATTGAGCATTTTTCTTCAGCAGACACTTGCATTTTTGAACCGCCTTGTAAACTGACAGCAGCAAATTCTCATTATGCCAACTTTTAACCGGCACTAAAACAGCTGCAGTTGATGGGAATGTCACTAGTTTTAGAAACTTTGTCATAAAACAAATAATCTGAAAAATCTAAATTTTGAGCAAATGACCATGTTAGAGGAAACGTCAGGGGATCATGACAGTTATTAGAGATATCTGAGCGGTGGCGGACCAACCGACTTTGCTCAGTAGAGCCACATGCGCATGAGTAAAAGCACTTGCTGAGTATAATCACATTATCATGCAATCAAATTAAATCTACAAAAGCACAAATTTCCCATCTTTTTTAGGTGACTGTCACCTAAAATCCTTTACTGTACACAAATACATTCCATAGAACACAATTTATTTACTGAGGACAATTTGAAAACTTTCTCTTCACATCATGACAAGTGACTCATGAAGAAAAATGTCAGTGCTTATAAGCGTTGACATTTTGACAAAATGCTCAACTGTATTTGTTACAAAATGTAACATGACAGATAGAAAATAATTGCAACCAGCATCCTCTGAAAGTGAGCAAAACAATCCAAAACCATTTACACAAATCATCATCAACCAGCTTCCACATGTCCACCTGCTGTGGACAACATGGCTTCATCCTTCACCAAAAATATCTCAAAAATGCTCGATATGATGCTGATTTTGTTTTCTCTCACCATGCCATAGACTTAGTACCAATGTGATAAAAAAAAAACAAAAACAAAACTATAACACAGAGCAAAAGAAAAGAAAAGTAGCGGTCACATCACTGGCCCATCAGGACTGACTCACTCCTCCTATCTGGAACAAACTGCACTTGCCTTCAGTCTTGTGTTTGGAGCGGGGTGGAGACCCACTGCTAAGAGGCCGGCTATAAACAGGAATGTCTATGACAGGAACCCAGAGTGAGGACAGCCCCCTCCCTTTACACCACATACTGGTGCTTGTTGTTGTAGTCTGTCGTGTATGTCTGCCGGCTGTACTGGAAGTGGTCGGTCAGCACGGTGTTCCAGCTGTGCTGCTGCTCTGAGCCATGGGAGAAAGGCATGGACCCGTTGGCCTGGACCTTCTCCAGTGCCAGGTTGTCAAAAGACCTCAGATCCTGCTTGGTGCTTGGCAGTACCTTCTTCTGCCTGTTAGCGTCATACTTGGCCTGTTGTTGAGAAGGGCAAATAGATTTTAAATGGCTGGGTGTGTTAAGCGTGGGCCACTGGCACTACACAGCAGTCACTGACTGGTGAAATACAGGGCCCTGCAGTGTGAGCATTTCAATCGCATATGCAAGCAAAAATCAGTGTGCCATTGTGAAAAATGATTTGGGTGAACTGATGCAACCGACTCCCCAGTTCCTTGGGTTCTCAGTTTATAAAGAACATTTTATCAGTAAACCTACACAAAGTGACCAGTGAGTGAGATTAGTGGATTGGAAAATATGATTTTGGTTTTTGTGGAGCGGCTCCTTCTGGTATTCGTGTATAGACAGTTATACACTTGTTTTGTTTGACTGACTTTACTCAGGCCTATTTCATCTTCATTTATCAATCAACATGGCTCATGCATTATGTCTTTAATACAAGGCTTGTTATTAGAGGATTACTTCCTCGCTACCCTGTGACACTATCCCACCATCTAGACTCATACAGTGGTGTGAAAAAGTATTTGCCCCCTTACTGATTTCTTATCTTTTTGCATGTTTGTCACACTGTAATGTTTCAGATCATCAAACAAATTTAAATATTAGTCAAAGATAACACAAGTAAACACATCATGCAGTTTTTAAATGAAGGTTTTTATTATTAAGGGAAAACAAAATCCAAAACTACATAGCCCTGTGTGAAGAAATGTTCGCCCCCCTGTCAAAACATAACTTAACTCTGGTTTATTGCACCTGAGTTCAATTTCTCTAGCCACACCCAGGCCTGATTATTTGTTCTTTTTCATCCATCCCTGCCTGACAAGCTAACAGCCACCAGTCGGGGGAGACTCACCTTGTTGTAGAGGAAGACCCCGACTATGGCCGTCATCATACCCAGGACATTTGTGAAGGTAACCGGGTTGCGCAGCATTAGCAGCGAGATGCTAATGACCATGATCCTTTTGGTGGCATTGGCGACAGCGTAGCTGAGTGGGCTGACGAGGTTGAGCACACTGAACGCAATGACGTTCTGTGCAAAGTTGCAGAAGCCGCTGATGAGCAGGAGGACAAACGTACCTGTCCATTCTGTAATTTCTGACTGGTAAAAAAAAGCAAAAAAACTAATTTAAGACCCTACCTTGGGCTCCAAGAAGTTTTAATGGACATTTTTCACAATTTTGTAACATTTGACACTAAATATAATATACAAGAACTTAGTCTCAGCCCTAACAAAAAAAAGTATAAAAACCAAAATTAAGATTATTCTGACCAAACAAGTACTAAAAAATGTTGAATGTTTCTCAGATCTCTTGCTTTGAACTAACATATCCAGACTGGCTGACACTCTCTGTTAACTGTGCTCTACAGAAAATTGTTCAAGTTATCTGACTTATTCATCAAGACGTTTTCAGTATAAAGCAAGAACAGCCACTTCAGCTGTCAACTATATGGAATTAATTAGTGTGTCTTTTAAAGCAGTTACTATAAATGATAAACAAAACATTCTTTCTGGCTATTGTTTATTTTAACAATATGAATCACTTGTTGCCAAGAAATATGTTATTATACAAAAGGGATGACCAAAACGTACAAACTCAGGCAATACAAATGTTCCTGTAACTCACCAGGTTTCCATTAACAAGAAACACAGAAAGATCCACCAGAACCCAGGTGGGCAGCATGAAGATTACCGCATTAAAGCCCAGGATGTTGAGCAGCCTCAAGTGGTGCACGCTTGTATCACGCAACACCTTTAAAAGAGAAAAAGAAATGATCAATAAAAAATAAATAAATAAATAAGGAAAAGCATCTCAAATTGTGTAAAAATAAGATGGGATGTAAAAAATAAGCACTGCAGAGCAAACACCATAAAAGCATCAATAATAATAGCTGATGTAGCTAATAAATTTGATCTAAAACAAACATTTTCAAAATGCGCACACAAGTACATTCATGACATACATAACACAACCCTCTTCTTTTCTTACAGCAGAAACATGAAACAGAGATCCTGCTTCAGGCATTTCACACCAAACCACCAGGAAGTAACACCCTAGTGCAGGAATCATGGGGCACACACTGTACCGGTAGAATGATGATGTACCTTTTTGGAGAAGATGTTCTGCAGGGAAAAGCAGAGAGTGGCAGCCAGGGCACTGATCAGTCCTGAACTATCAAAGGACAGCTCAGTCACTGTGGCCAGCAGCACTCCGCCGATGATAGGGATGAGCGATATGTACACCTACGACAAGGACCACACAGAGATACAAGGCAGAGTCAGCAAAAGCAACACTTTCATTGCTCAAACCTAGTGCACTAAATTAATCCAATGTCCTGCATTAACTGTAGTTTTACTAAAATGAGTAAGAATGTGTGTGGCCTGTTGCCATCTGATATTTGTTTGAGGACATCTCAAACCCAGTAATTAAAATGTTTGGCCACACCATTACATCCCCAGTCCTAATACAGCACACTAATAAAGGGCTAAGTTGGGTTCTGTTATTTCATCCATATTTTGCATAATGTGAGATAAAATTTCCACAGTTTCCCAAAGAAAAGTGGAGGCTGAAGAGAAATATTTTATTAAAACTTCTACAGGTAACTTAAAGATGCACTGTAGGGATGCCGTTATCTATTCAACCACGTAAGATGAAACTGCATTTCCACCTACAGTACACGTACCACTTCAGAGGGTGCAGCTGGACCTGTGGATGCTTCTACCTCCTGGCCTGAAACCATGATGATGTATTTGCAGACGTATTTGCATGCTGAAAATGCTGATTACTGAGAAATGACAGAGACCTGCAGCTGTTGTGCCCCACTCCCTCCCTCAACCAACCACTTGGAGTGAAACTGAGAAAACACAAACACTAGCAGATTCCACCAATTCACTGCTACCAAATGACCAAACTTGAAACAGTAACAACGTCTGTAGTTGTTTGCAAATATTTATTGTTTTGCAGGCAGATAGTGTGAACCCTAAAATGTGGGCTGGCCCTTGAAAACAACCACCCTATTTTATGATGGATAATTAAATAATCTACAAGGTGCAGTACAAAGAAGCAACACAGCTCCAGGTAATAACCAACTGAACCTGTTCAGGTTGAAAATTTCAATCTTCTGTGTAGTCACTGAACTGGATGCTAAAGCTAGTACGTATACTGATATTGTCAATGCGTAGCCAGTATTGTTTCGGTCCTTTAACACATGACTGCTACAGAAAAGTGTGTGAAATTTCTTGTAACCCTGAACACTAAGAGTGGCCTCATCTATTTTGGCCTAGATTTCTGTCCCTTTTCAGGTGGCCTGACTTATTTTGAAAATTGATTCTGAAGGCATTCTACACTCAAAAGGAAGAAGATGGAAACTACAGAAATGCATTCAAGAGTCATATGCACTCAGTTTTCTTAAGACACTTTAACACATTAGTACACTTAGTACACTTAAATAGTCCAGCGCAATCTGATACAGCTGCTCTGCCATGGAGCCAGCTTTTATGAGGCCTATCATGTTCAGTTTTTATTGACACCGTCATAGAGTTTGTGGCTATGTTTTAGCACTGAGGTCATAGTGACAGTTTTGTACTGGACTGCATTATACTAGAGCTGCAACAACTAGCTGATTGATTAGTCAATCAAAGAAAATTCACTGGCAGCTGTTTTGAAAATTGACTGATCACATCAGTACTTTTCCTCTGGCTTTAACTGTTCAACTGTGAGAACCAGTTGCTTTCTCATATTTCTTTGATGTTTTTAGGTGTTGGACTGCTGGTCGGCCAAACCACCAAACTGAAGACATACTGTGGGCCCAGAGACTGCAAATGGCAGATTTTCATGGGTTTTTGGGGCAACTTTTTATAGTCTGAACATTTAATTAAGAAAATAACCAGGGTAAGAGAAAAAAATTAGAAACACTAAACTGATTTCTATTATCCTGACAAAGTGCCTATTCAGTCGCAGATGTTCTGCGTTTCCTCCGACCTAAGGATTCCCAGCACAACGTAGAGTAAGCTGCTGCTCGTCCAACAGGACCTCTACACACACACTAACACAATACCAATGCATACTGCACGCTGCCTGTCTGTGGACCCAGCTCATCTCAACGCTCAACTGACAGCTGAAAGGTAAACATGACAAGGTGATGATAGACCCAGGGGTCTCCTTATTCAGGTGCAGCCAACCCTGACTGTAAAAACTTCCCTTTCACGATAGAAAATTCAGTTGTATTCCAGAGATGTCAAAAGCTGTGAACTTTGTTAAAGCCACCCCAGTCAGAGTTTGTAACCCCCAATCCTTCTTTAATACTAAGTAGAGGCAGGTACTGAGTCCTGACCTGAGGTTACATTTTAGTGTGCACTATTAAGTTAGAGCTACATTATAGATAGTAAAGCTGATGTGATTTAACTGTATGACAGCTGAACACAGTAGCTGCATGTAACCGATTATTATTTTAGTCATTTTAAAGCAGAAAAAAAACCTAAATATTCACTGCTACAGCGTGTGCAGTGTGTAGCATGTCTCAGGCACCTTGCCCCAGGCTCATGCTTGTGTCTGCAAATGTTCATTTGCACATTGCAAGAGCCTGATGTACAAAAAGTGCACGGAAGAGACTACAGACACACCTTGAGAGTCTTTTAACCTTTTTATTTGTGTGTTGGCACAATGGCCTGTCTCTGAAAGACAAAAACTAATTATGTAATATTGTTAAGGTCTGCTCCACAATGGCTGGAGTTCAACAAAAAGAACTTTGGAGGAGGCAAATGGTCAAGAAAGCAGAGTTTGATGAAGGAATTTGTAGTTATGCTTTCAGGTCAGTGCTGTTATGCAATCGGCATAACAAATATGCAAATTTCTTTATTCCCAATGCGATCAGGCTACTGAATGTTGATATAAGCCAAAGTACAGGCTTCCCTGTAACAGGGAAGTGCCTCTTTTCTCTTAGTAGCCGCTAATCTGTTGTTGCTGCTGCTGTCAGGGTCTTGGCTATTCGAATACTAAAATTGAAAACCGATTACCTACTCAACAAAAGAAATATCTGAAGAGTCAAATATTTGGGTTCAGCCCTACACAGGATACACTTTACTACATCGACTCAAGTTGATCTACCAGTCCACCACCTGTAAATCCCTCTCTCAGTGCAGTTTGCGCACATAGCGCACATATCAGGTGACGTCTTCCAAGTCCATTATACATCTGAGTCACGACATGGGAGGTTACACTTTAGCTAACTCTCATATTACTCTGCCGTCGAATCTTGAAACATTCACCCACCCGCACATGGCGCAACATGATACTATGCATGAATGAAAACAAACATGCATTAACACAAACCAAGCTGGTTCCTAATTATAAACAGCATTTACCAGGCTATTGTGTCGAACTTGTGGAAATAAAAGTTTGTTTTCTACCCTGACCCCGACCCTCCCACAGGGTGTCTGATCAGCTTCATGGACAAAGGCCCTTGCAGATGGCCGTAACATGAGATGCAGTACAGGCGCAGTACTGTGCCACATCACCACTGCTGAGTCTCAAACACAGATAAACAGGCTCAAACAGAGGGGGCCTTGTGCGTAGTTTGCGGACTCAGACTTACCTTTGTCGTTTGCTTCTCTCTCATGATAATTCTTGATAAGAGCACAACCCATATTGGCATTGTGGCTTTAACTGCAACAAAAAAAAAACAAAACACAAAAGGGATGATATCAGTTTGATTTCTTAAACATGCAAACGCAGCTAAAAGCAGCAGGTAGAAAAGACTGATGCTTGCAAGCAAAATGCTCCTACATTAAGTCAGGCCTACACCTCTGTCAAACACTTAACTCACGTCACTTATGAATTCACACGCCTCTGATCACTGGTTTAGTCTTGTTGTGTATCACTAATGAGTCAACAGTCATGGCCCCCTGGTTATGCAGCAAATAATCAACACATAAGGGGAAAAACAAAAATAATTGGTAAAACCAGACCCAGTACCATGAAAACTACCATCCACATGGACAGAAACTAATACTGAAGCAAAGCAAGCACTACCAAACTTGAATGTTTTTACTGACATGGCAGCTGTGACTCCCAAACAGGGTTAAGACTGCCAGGGGTCTTTGAAACAGCTTGGAAGGGGTCAAAAGAGAAGAAAAGTTTCGTTTGAAGATGAATTCATTGAATACATTCTAGTTGAAGTCACAAACCATTAAAAGTCAGACTATTTTATCTATAGGTTCTATCAAACTCTGGGTTATTAGGGAAATCTATTTAAAACTAATGCAATAAATATGATTATTATAACACTATTTTATTTTACAAAAGGTGTGGTTAGTTTGTGGTGCTGCTGAACGTTATACTGAGAGGTGTTTCTAGTATTTTGTCCATCCTATTAATATCAGTGAAGGTACCCTTTATATGAGAAAATGATAATCACTTTTATTGGCCTAGTATTGTACACACAAGGAATCTGTCTTAAAGACAGAGCATTGGAAGTTAATTTCACACTTCCGTTTATTATATTTTCCTCTATAACAGTCCTGCAGTACATCCTACCAGCTCCTGAAGTGGTTTAGAGGAGATTATACATACACGTATACAGTATAGTAAATACAGAAACTGCTCTGTCACCACAAACTGCAGCTTCCAAAAATAGCATAATGTTGAAATAATATCTCTGTAACACAGTTTCAACCAAAAATGAACATCAGTGGTGGAATGTAACTAAGCATATTTATTCATGCATTGCACTTAACTACAGTTTTTAGGTACTTGTACTTTTATATATTTACTCCACTATATGGAGTGAAATATTGTACTTTCTGCTCCACTATATTTATCTGACAGTTGATATTTACAAATTTGACTTTGCACATTCAGATATATTATAAATGAAGCAACGTG